GCTTTTTAAAATTCCTTTCTGAAACATAAATTGGACATCGTCTCAGTGACCCGGTGGACGGGACGTAACCCGACTGACATGCGCTGTTGCTTTGCATGCAGTCAGGAATGTCCATGGTCAGTCTACTCACCTGCTGTCCCAACCAGACCCACAAGAGGTTTTGTGTATTTAATATTTGCCATATTAAATGAAGGCAGCAGGACAGAAGGTTGATCCAAGCTGTGGACTCAATCAATACAAAGTTTGATTCATTTGGTTTAGACAAAAGTTACTTATTCTGTTTTGAAATATTTAATCATGTTTTAATTGTTACAGAATCTCCTGTTTATGTTGTCTTGATAAAATCAGTCAATAAAAGGCAACTATGTGATTATTCTTAATAAAAAATATCACTGAATTATTAAACCATTTTCATCTGTAGGTAAGAATTCAGCAAATATAGGCTGGTTCCATAAATTAGGACTGAAAAGTTCATTTGCCAGCATTTCCATCACCAAGTGAGACATTATTGAGATTAATCAGATTACCTCCGTTTTAACATATGTATATTTCATAGTGTGTTGACTAGTTGCTAAAAGGTCATTTTCAAAAGGTAATATTAATCTGACAAGCCTGATCAGGATGTGGGTCTGATTTATTGAGACAGACTGTTTGCTGTTCACACAGAGGTTTGGGCTTCAATTTTAGCTCTGGAAAAGAAAAGGAAAGACTTCCAGTGACTAACCCCAACCCTAAACCCAATCCTAACCCTAAACCCAACCCTTACCCTAAACCCAATCCTAACCCTAAACCCAATCCTAACCCTAAACCCAACCCTTACCCTCATCCCACCAACCAGCAATACAAAGTCGCCTCCTTCTGTGGCATTAAAGAAAAGCAAGTCTTATTGCAGCTCAAACTATCCAGAGGGATTTCTTTGTTTCTGGTTCTGTGCTGGCCCAACAGGAACCATGGGTTCCTCTGATGGGAACATTAATGAAACATGGAAGGTCTTTAGGGTTCTCCTTGTTGGTAGCTGAAACAATCTGATGTCCTGGTCCGGGTTCTGTTTGTTCTCCAGGGTTTTCTCTGGGACTCCATCCACCTGCAGATGGAGGACGTGGATTATTACAGTCTGAAGTTCAAACAGAACGGTAAGAAGATGGAAGAACATCTGGACAGTGTGACAGAACCTCGGGCTTCCTGAAGTTCTTTGTGCAGCATTTCAGGTTGATTAGATTAGCGACAGTGTTGTTGTAGCACAGAACGGCCTGATGGGGGCAGTATTGTGACTGCATTAACACCATAGTGGTGAAGTCGGCTTCCAGCTCCTGGTTTCCATCAGTGACATCAGCTCGGATGATGATGATGTTTCTGTGGCCTTCATCACTCATTAAGATCCCAGAACTAGAACGAGTAGATCAGAGCCACCATGTGACTTATTTTAGTGACATTTGGTTTGTTTGTTTTCCCATCATGCTCCTGGGCAGAGACGGTCCTCTGCATCAGGCTGACCAATCCCATCATACACCTGAACACCAGGAGTCACGTGGTGGAGTTGACCTTTGACCCTGAACACCAGCAAGAGCTGGAGGAGGCCGCAGGGAGAGTCTTCAATGTACTGCTGCGCCACCTGCATGTTGGAACAGCGCCTCCTGCTGGTCACTGCTGCCGGCGGCGTCTGAGCATGAGGCGGAGCTTCATCTGAGGAACTGTTGGTGTTTTCAGAAACAGCCCAGTGCATCCGGCGCCGGAGGAGCGGTCCGGACCTCGTCCTCTGCAGACGCGCACTCGGCTCGGTCCTACAGCCGCAAGAAGCCGCCAAGCAAGAGTCAGCTGAAGAGTGAGTCACGTTCTGCTCAGAACCTCCACCCAGATCACCACCGGACTGCCACAACACCGCCATGTTTACTGCCGGGCCTGGACCGGAACGGTCCACGGCTTTATGAACTCATCTGTCTCTCTCCTCAGTTCTACCGCTGTCGTCTCCGAGCAGCGAGGACGAGTCCACCTCCCTGAAGGTGACCCGCCACCGAGCGACCGACCCGATGACCGACCGATTGACTGGTTCTAACTCTGAGGTTCTGTTTTGCAGCCTACGGCTTCAAACCGAGCCGAAGTTCTGTTTGACCAGATGATTCATTCAACTCCTAAGTTCAGCGGTGAGTCAACGGTCAGAGGAACCCGGTGGTGACCGGGCTGGTCTTTTGGTCCGTCAGAGAGAATCTCTCAGGTTTCTGGTTCAGCTGCTTTCCAGCCACCTTTGGATCCACCTGATGGAGCCGACGGTCCAGAAGTTCACCTGGAGAACCTGGAAGAGCCCCCAACAGGTGACCTGCAGGGGGCGGAGCTTCCGGTGATGCAGCACCTGATGGAGGGACTTGAAGAAGGAAGCAGCTCCCCATCTATCAAGGTTCATTTCCTGTTTCTTACTGGAGTCAAACCTGATAGGTTTTTCATGTTTACCTGTTTTTTCTTCTTCTGCAGGAAAGCCTGAGGAAAAGAGAAGCTGCAGATTCAGGTCTCACCTGTTCATTTACCTGGATGACGGCTGCACTGATAAAACATGTTCAAATCAATGATGTTTGATGCTGGGCCCAGTCTGTCCAGAATAACCAACACTCTGAACCACAGGCTACCTGTCAGACCAGGCCGAGGGCGTCACCCCCTCCAAGAGGAAGGCGGAGCCTCTGCAGGACTGGGCGGAGTCTGAGTTGCCAATGAAAGGTAGTTCAATGCTAAGTTCTGTTTCTTGAATGTTTCTGATGCTCACCTGGCTGCCCAGGAAAGGAGGTGGAGCCAACAATGGAGGAGGCTAAGCAGAAGGCGGAGCAGAGTCACACCTGACCTCTGACATCACTGCTGCGTTTCAAGTCCTTCAAAGCCCAGCTGGAGCAGCGCTTCACTGTCTGTAGCCACACTTGCTCTCATCAATGCTCTGCTGCTCATCAATAATCGGTAATTAACGAGGCGGATTGATCTCAGGGCTGCTGGCAGGAGGTCCAAGCTGAGGTTCTCGGGTCCCTGAGGGACTGTCAGCAGCATGTGTCCTCACTGCTCACAGCCGTCCACCAGCACAGGTAAGTCTGAAGCTCCGCCCACCTCCACAAGCTCCGCCCACCTCCACAAGCTCCGCCCACCTCCACAAATCTGCCAGTCATCACGGACGAGTTGTTGTTCTGTGTGTGTGTGTGTGTGTGTGTGTGTGTGTGTTCAGGTTGTCGTTGCTGCGGCGCTTTGAAAACAGTGTAACGGATCATCTGAAGCAACTGGAGCAGAACTCCATCAGTCTGAACTCCATGGATTCTGAGATTCTGGTATGTGGCAGGTTGCTGGTTCTGAACTGGTGTGACTGGTTCCATCCCACTGATGACCACTTCCTGTTTGTCCTGCAGACGTTCTTCCACTCTGAGATGGAGCAGCTCAGTTCGTTCTGTCAGGAACATCTGAAGAAGTGAGTCTGATGGGTCCTGGTCCGGTTCTCCCTGCTGCAACTGGAGTAGAACCCGGTCCAGAACCTGGTCCAGATGATCGGCTAGGCCGGAATAGAACCCGGTCCAGTTGAACTATAAAGGACGGTTCAGTTGTGATGTTTGGAGCGGACTCCATATAGGGTCCTACGGTGGAGACCAACGAAATGAACCGGGTTCTAGACACAAACTGGGTTCTGACTAAATTCTGTTTGGACGGAGAGGTTCCACAGCGGGTCCTGGAGGACCGGCATCCTGCATGTGTCACTTCCTCCCTGCTGGAGGCAACTTCCTCCTCAGCAGGTCCATGTTCTTCTACTGAGCCGTCATTGGATCCAGGTGAGTCAAAGCGTGCAGGATGCCGGGCCTCCAGGACCCGCTTTGGGCCCCACTGGGTTCGAGGTTCTCCCCAGTGGTCCAGAAAACACTGGGTTGATATGAGCTGTGGGTTCTGGTTCTGCTGGGTCAGAGTTAAGGTTACCTGTGTCCAGATCTTCAGTCTGTTTCTCCTCAGGTTGAAGATTCTGGACTCCGACCAGCTGAGGACACATTGATCCAACCGCTGAAGACTCCGCCATCGACCGGAGAGAAGCAGACATTTTGGGATCTGAGTGAGGAAGAGGAGGAGGAGGAGGAGGAGGAAGAGGAGAAGGAAGAGGAGGAGGAGGAGGAGGAGAGGAGGAGGAGGAGGAGGAGGAGGACGAAGAGGAGGAAGAGGAGGAGGAGGAGGAGGAGGAGGAAGAAGAGGAGGAGGAAGAGGAGGAGGAGGAGGAGGAGGAGGAGGAGGAAGACCTCCAGCATCTTTTAGTTTCTGATCATTTTCTCTTCTAATCAAACTATTAAAGGCTGAATCTAAACTCTGTGTGATGTTGATGCTGGTGCCGGTTTCCATGGTGATGTAGGTTGTCGTGGTGCTGATGCTGGTTGCTATGGTGATGCGTGGCGCAGTGGCGACAGCCGGCCACCAGGGGGGGAACCTCCATCAAGCCGTATTAACAACCTGACAGCAGGGGGCAGCAGCTGCACCGCAGGCTGACCCTCCAGAACCAAACCAGAACCTGCAGGACACGCTGCGCACAGCGGGGACATCCAGCTGCTGTCCTGCATGTCCCCGTGGCTCAGGAACCTGCTGGAGACATGTGCTGGACATGGGGACAGAGCGGGACACCGGTCCCCTACAGCGTCCCCTGCAGCAGGACGCCCCGTCCCTCGCAACAGGACGCCCCGTCCCCTGCAGCAGGACGCCCCGTCCCCTGCAGCAGGACGCCCCGTCCCCTGCAACAGGACGCCCCGTTCCCCACCCCGTCCCCTGCAACAGGACGCCCCGTCCCTCGCAGCAGGACGCCCCGTCCCCCACCCCGTCCCCTGCAGCAGGACGCCCCGTCCCTCGCAGCAGGACGCCCCGTCCCTCGCAGCAGCGTCCCGTCCCCCACCCTGTCCCCTGCAGCAGGTCCAAAGCTGTTTGTGGTTCTGCTGCTGGTCGTCAAGCAGCTTGGAGCCAAACAGAAAAATCCCCAAAAGAGAAGAAGAAGACGAAGACGAAGACGACTAATGAGGCGCCGTCAGGGGGAGGCGGAGCTGCTCAGGTGTTTCACTCGGCAAACATCACACAACCTGCAGCAGCTCCTCTCTGAACCGGACCGGACCGCAGATTGGACCATGCCGTCACTGCTTCTGTGACCCGTTTCTGTGGACTTGGATGGACGAGCGGAACCGGACCTGAAGGCTAGACGGGTCGCTGATTCCCAGCAGGTAAAGGTCAGTCCACTGGGACCGCAGCCGTACTGGGTCCACTTAGATTATGCAGTGACCCGTTTACAGCCGGAAGGTTCTGATGTCCCAGACGGGTCGGAACCAGAGCAGAGTCCAGATTGTCCTACTGGGTCTCTAACTGCTTTAATCTGCTGAACTGATATCTGGTTCTGGTCCTACTGGATTCCATCCTGACCGGTCTCATCTCTGACCCGGTTCTGGTTCCAGTGGTTCCAGTAGAGATGGGGTGTTTAGGTGGGAAGACGGACGAAGAGCGACTCGACGAAAAGGCCAAAAGAGAAGCAAACAAGAAGATCGAGAAGCAGCTGCAGAAGGAGAGACAAGCGTACAAAGCAACACACCGTCTGCTGCTGCTGGGTGACACACCTGTCTGTCCACCTGTCTGTCCTCCTGTCTGTCCACCTGTCTGTCTGTCTGTCCTCCTGTCTGTCCACCTGTCTGTCCTCCTGTCCCTCTACCTGTCATCATCTCGACGGTCCAGGCTTCATTTGTTCTCCTCTCTACCCCCCATTGGTCTGTCCTCCTCTCTGTCCACCTGTCCTCTGTGTGGTTGTGCAGGTGCAGGAGAATCAGGTAAAAGCACCATCGTGAAGCAGATGAGGATTCTCCATGTGGACGGTTTCAACACTGAGTGAGTCTGGGTTTGTGGGAACCGGGTCGACACCAAACCGGTTTCATGAACTCTGGTTTGTTCCCAGAGAGAAGCAGCAGAAGGTCCAGGACATCAGGAAGAACGTGAAGGACGCCATCGTGGTGAGTCGGACCGGAGCACAGGGTCATGAGGGTCATCGGGGTCATAAAGGTCATCGGGGTCATGAAGGTCATCGAGGTCATAAAGGTCATCGGGGTCATGAGGGTCATCGGGGTCATAAAGCTCATCGGGGTCATGAAGGTCATCGGGGTCATAAAGCTCATCGGGGTCATGAAGGTCATCGGGGTCATGACGACGGTGTCCTGGCTCCAGCAGGACCTGGTCCTCCAGGTGGACACGTCTCCGCCCTCGTCCTGACCGTCGGCTCCATCGGCCAATCAGCTTCTGTCTTTGTTCCAGACCATCGTGTCGGCCATGACTGCGCTGACTCCGCCCGTCCCTCTGGGAAACCCTGGCAACCAGTTCAGAGTGGACTACATGAAGAGCATCGCTCCGCTTTCAGACTTCGATTACACGGAGGTAAAACCACCTGCACAGCTCAGTCATGTCAGCTGTGATGTCACTCAGGTGTGTCTGCAGCAGAGGCAGCAGGTTGGAGGGTCTGCGCAGGTTATTGATCTCTGATCAGCAGAACCTCTACTTCCCCTCAGAACCAGGTCCAATCATTCTCCTCACTACTTGGTTTGGTTCTGATGGTTTGGTTCTGATGGTTTGGTTCTGACGGTTTGGTTCTGATGGTTTGGGTCTGACGGTTTGGTTCTGACGGTTTGGTTCTGACGGTTTGGGTTCACAGTGTTTCTGGTAATATTCCCTGCAGCAGCAAAGGAGACCTCAGAGGAAAGACAGGTGACACCCGTCCTGAACAGGTAGACGGTTGAAGGGCTCCAGGCGGCACCAGGAGACCAGCTTGTTTGTTGTAATGACGGTAATGACATGATGTAACCAGTTCACCGGAGACGCACACAGCTGAGAGTCGCCTGAGGCCTCATTATCCAAACAGATCGTCTCCAAGGTCCTCACTCACCAAACAAGTGTTCACACTTCCTCTGTGCTCTGCTGATTGGTTCGTGAGACACTGGGATCCTCACTCTGTTGTTGCTGCCATCCAATCAGGAGCCTTCACACAGACCCATCCGTGATAGACATCCAGCTCTAGAACCTCTAGAACCTGTTTGTGTCTACGTACTCGCTGACCTGCCGTACTAACGGACCTGGTGCCACTTGTCATTTAGAGGCAGCCCAGACTGACAAAGCTGGTCTTCTGACCTTCATTCTCTGTTTGTTGTCTTTGTCCTCCATCAGTCTGAAGCAGGAACCAGTGTGGCTGATGGACATGTGAGACAGAACAGACCAGGTTTAACTGGGATCTTTGGTACCAACAGGAGGTCATAAAGACATTCTGAGCCAGCAAGAAATAAGACCCTGGTAGAAAATGAGACTGAAAGGTCCAATAAGGAAGGAAGGCTCTGGTTTGGAACGGATGAATGGATCAGAGCAACAAGAAGTTTCTGGCATTCCCAGAACGGAGTAACCAGGAGATCAGGGTGGCTCATCAGGCCCACCTGTGATGTGGTGCCACCCCCCCTGAACCAGGTGCTGCTGTGTCCCTCTGCAGCATGCAGGGGGCGCTCACAGCTCTCTCTCCTGTTCTGCCAGGATTTCTTTGAGCACACCCAGAAACTGTGGGAGGACGACGGCATCAAGGTGTGCTATGAACGCTCCAATGAATACCAGCTGATCGACTGCGCCAAGTAGTAAGGACCCTGTGCATTAAGCCCCTCCCATCTGTACTGTGATGATCCAGGTGTAAAGCCTTTTACTGATCCTCGTGTGTTCTGGATTCCAGCTTCTTGGACCGATTGGACTCTGTCAGGAAGACGGACTACACACCTACCGACCAGGTGAGAGACCAACCAATCAGGCTGCAGCTTCCACCGTGGCTCCGCCTCACTCTTCTTCTGCTGCAGGACTTGCTGCGCTGCAGGGTGCTGACATCTGGGATCTTTGAGACCAGGTTTCAGGTGGACAAAGTCAACTTCCAGTAAGTTCTGGATCTGAGGTCAGAACCACCATGTTCTAAGCAGGAAATGAAAGGTGTGTGTGTGTGTGTGTGTGTGTGTGTGTGTGTGTGTGTGTGTGTGTGTGTGTGTGTGTGTGTGTGTGTGTGTGTGTGTGTGTGTCAGTATGTTTGATGTAGGAGGTCAGAGGGATGAGCGCAGGAAGTGGATCCAGTGCTTCAACGGTAAGAGCTGCAGCAGCAGCATTAATCAGCTGGAGCAGCATTAATCAGCTGCAGCAGCAGCAGCATTAATCAGCTGCAGCAGCATCAGCAGCAGCATTAATCAGCTGCTGCAGCAGCAGCAGCATTAATCAGCTGCAGCAGCAGCATTAATCAGCTGCTGCAGCAGCAGCAGCAGCAGCATTAATCAGCTGCAGCAGCAGCAGCATTAATCAGCTGCAGCAGCAGCAGCATTAATCAGCTGCTGGCTGAGTGCCAGCAGAACTCAGCCCGTTTGGTTCCCTCAGATGTGACGGCCATCATCTTCGTAGCGGCCAGCAGCAGCTACAACATGGTCATCAGGGAGGACAACTCCACCAACCGCCTCAGAGAGTCCCTAGATCTGTTCAGGTCCATCTGGACCAACAGGTGCTGGTGGTTCTGAACAGCTGTCTCAGCTATCTGACCTGTGATTGGCCGCGCTGACCTTCATGTGCTCTGTGATTGGCTGCAGGTTCCTGAAGACCATCTCTGTGATTCTGTTCCTCAACAAGCAGGACGTCCTGGCTGACAAGATCCTGGCCGGGAAGTCCAAGCTGGAGGATTATTTCCCAGAGTTCAGCAACTACCAGTCTCCTCCTGACTGTAAGAGCGAACACGCATGTGCTGATGGACATGTGAGGAACATGGAGCGCTTCTGACATCCATGTCTGTTTCCCAGCTGTTCCAGATGTTGGCGAAGACCCCAAAGTGACCCGAGCAAAGTTCTTCATCAGAGACGAGTTCCTGGTAAAACCGATGGTGGTCAGGGAACTGACGAGTTCCCTCAAATGTGTTCCCTCCTATATCTTCCCTCTTACCGTGTTCCCACTAAAGCGTCCCCTCTAATGTGTTCCAGAGGATCAGCACGGCCAGCGCCGACGGGAAACATTACTGCTACCCTCACTTCACCTGCGCCGTGGACACGGAGAACATCCGCCGCGTCTTCAACGACTGTCGTGACATCATCCAGCGCATGCACCTGCGTCAGTACGAGCTGCTGTGATTGGCGGCTGGTCCCTGCTATGGCCCCGCCTTTTCCTGTTAGACCATCAATGCAGGCTTCTTCATGTTTAGAGTAGAAAAGAGAAATTCTGAGAATATGTAGTGTTTATGGTTCAAAAGGTCAGGGTTATTCAGAGCATTATGGGTAGTGTAGTGTACAGGCTGACAGAGTGCAAACATTTTTGTTAAAATATTTTTCCATGTTATGATGTTGAGTTCAGTTATAGCCTGTTGTTGATTGGCTGTTTTCAGATTTTTAACCAATCAGGACTTAGAGCTCATTTATCCAAACAGGAAGCTGATGTGCTGAGTTCATTTATTAGCATTAAAAAGGATTTATCAGCGCATTGGTGTCTGTTCTTCTTCAGCACCTGAGGTCCGAAAAGGCCCGGTTCTACTCAGTCAGTACAAGACCAGACAGAGTACACAAAGTTGAAGTGTGATGAAAAATATCATTTCTCTGCAGACAACAAGGGCCACCATTCAGAACCAAACTGGACCGTTCTCCAGGCTCAGCTTGAGAACCACAGCTGCAGAACTCAGAACCTCAGCTCAGCTTTGGACCTGAGGAAATCAGGCTGCAGTGAGAAAGTCTGCTTCCTTTGGAAGAACAGCACTCAGAACTAGGAGGTTCTTTCAAAATAAAAGCTCTTCTCTAAAATCAAAGCAGAGCATTATGACTGATGCAGAGGTTCTGGAGTCGATGTGAGCCACGGTTTCTCTGTGGTTCTGATGTAGAACCAAATGGAGTCAGAGGTTCGTCAGGTTCTGGTTCTGTCTGTGCGGGTCGGACCATCACTTGGACTCCCACTTTATATCAATGGATCAGTTCCAAAAATATCAAAGATGGAAGGAGAGGAATGCTGCTCAGTTCACACGGATCAAAACCAAAGGTCCTCAAAGATCTGGGTTCATCATTGGCTCCTCTAACCGATAAACGGCCTGAACTCACCCAGACACAAATAAAAGCTAACGAGTTACTCTGTCATAAGAGAAACTAGTCTGGGGCTTGATTCTTAAGTCATACTTTGAACATGTTGTCCTCTCACTTTCAAACTATTTAGTTAGCAAGCTAAACGTTTAGCTCGCTAACATCATATTTAGGTAAAAAGATAAATCTTTAGCTTGAAGCTATATCTTAGTAACTAAACATTTTGCTGTCACTGCGTGGCCAAACATATGTGACGTCAGCGCCGCATTATTTGGTGCAGAATCGCAATAAAATTTACTGAGTTTGCAAGATATGCGGCATCTGATTAAAAGGTTTTAATTCCTCACTGTTGCTATAGTTCCTTTGCTCATGGGAGCAAAATCATGTCAGAAGTGAAACGACTGGTGAGTTTATAACTAGATACCAGCAGGAGATACATCTACCTGGAAAATCCATCGCTATAGATCTAGAATCCTCAGAGCAAAACTAGTTAACTATAGGAGATGAATTCACTGATCATAAAGTGTTTCACGTTTTACTTCATTTTTGTATTCGTCTGAAATCAACCCTGAGAACTCTAACATGCTCTAGAAAACATAGATCTGACATGGAGGCATGTAGGTTCACACAGATCAAATATATTAAAACAAAATGAAGACGAATATGCAGAGTAAAGACAAGACAACATTTAATACTGCACTTATCAAAATGCACACTGAGCAGGATTATTACAGAAATTTGAAAATATACATGTGTATTAATAGTGCATTAACAAACAGATACACATTTGTGTATTTTGTTTTTCTGGGAAGATCTGAATTTGTTTTTATTTAAAATATATTTTATTAATCAGATGAAGAGCCAGCAGAGAGGAACAGAAAAAGCAAAGGAGGTGGATTAGCAGAGCTGCAGCAGCAGCTGATGGTTTCCATGTCTGTCTGGATCTCTACAGATGCAGCACGGACTGCTACTGGAGAGCCTTCACGTCCACTCCGCTCTGAGTTCAGACAACATTCTCGGGATAAATAAAGCATTTTAAAAAAACCTGAGTAATCTGCCAAATTAAAAGTGATACAAAGTCTGGAGATTCATTCTGGTTCTGGTTCTGGTTCTGCTGGGGGATTGTTGTGGAGCGAGTTTATGTTGGAATGACTCTTTTGGTTTATTGAAGTGATCAGTTCGGTTCTGAACCGGGTCAGAACCAGTTCACCCTCTGGTTCTGACCCGGTTCTGAGGGTCTTCCAGAGCCGACCGAGACCGTCCAGCTCGGACACGGAGCTGCAGCGTGGCGCATGCGCCGTGTGGGTCAGGCTGTGGGCAGTTTGGCGCGCTGCCTGCGTGCCTCCGCAGAGTGTGCGTGCTGGCGCAAAGCGCGGCCTCCTGCGCTCGTCCTCAGCCGCTGCAACACAAACAACAACAATAAACAACAACAGGCGTCCTGCTGACCGGACGGCCCGGCTCGCGGCCGCGGACACACCCACAGGACTCGGCCACGGTAAGAGCTCGCTCCGGCCGCCGCGCTCTCTCCCGCTTCGGGACCGGGCTGCCTGCGCGCTCTCGAGCCGCTGCCGGCCGCCGGAGCTCCGCTCCGAGGCCGCGGCCCCGCCGCTCGCGTGCCTGCGTGTCGGGGCCGCAGCCCGCGAGGCCCGGGCACCGGAGCGCGCGCCTCGGGCACGGAGCGGAGCGGAAAACGGAGCCGCCATCTTGTTTTAGCGGCCGAACCGAACCGAGCCGGAACCCGCGGCTCTGCCGGAGCCGGGCTTTAGGCCCGAACTCCACGCCTGTTCCGGCCGGATCGGAGTGGTTAGCATGTTAGCTACATACAGCTAACCGGGTCGAGCTCCAAGCCCAGCTCTGGTTCCGAGACACAGTCCGAGCGTTCGGTTCCACCTCAGACCTGCACTCTGGTCCCCGTCGGGTCCGGTCCAGTTCTGACGGTCCCGAACCCTGCCTCATTTCTGGTACCGGAGTCGACCCGGTCTGGTTCGGTTAATGTAAACACAGAAGGCCTCGGTGCTGCTTGGCGGGTCCGGTCCACATCAGAACCCGGTTCCGAATGAGTCTGGGACTCAGCTGGTCCAATAAGTTCTGATGACCGTCTGCTGCCTCTGCAGGGGACGCGCACACGCTCCGAGCGCGTGCCCGTCTCATTAGTAGTGCGCGAGACTAGCAGGAAGCAGACAGCGCGCGCCAGCAGCAGCACAGGGCAGAATCCAGCAGGTTCTGGACGGTTCTGACCCGGTTCTAAGAGGAACTGACACTGTCTGGAGCAGTCAGAGATCCAACAGTCGGGTTGGGCCGTTCTGGTGGTTCTAAAGAACCGACTTGGCAAGTTCTGCTTCATCAGCAGAACCATCTTCGGTTCTACTGGACCTACTCAGATCAACCCTCTGGACAGATTTCCCCTTCCTGTCAGCTTGCAGAAAAGCTGGATCAGAACCGGAACATTCTTCTGGTTCTGATGTCGGAGCGAATAACTGGGTCGCTCCGCAGAGACGGTTCCATCAGAACCCGATCAGCAGCAGAGAAGGACGATGCCTCCTCTTCCTCATCTTCAATGTCCGACAGAACCACATGTCTCTGTAGAACCCGGTTCTATTCCTGGTCCTGAAACACTGATGAAGAAGTTGCAACAAAGCTGAGTTCAGTCTGGACCTGGGAGATGTGGTTCTGGTCCAGGAAAAGAACCTGGTTCTCTTTGACTTTGGCAGAAACATGAGAGTTAATTAAAGTCCACCTCTAGTGTCCCTGGTTCCCAGAGGTTCTGGTTCCGGTACTGACCACCTCTAGTGTCCCTGGTTCCCAGAGGTTCTGGTTCCGGTACTGACCACCTCTAGTGTCCCTGGTTCCCAGAGGTTCTGGTTCCGGTACTGACCACCTCTAGTGTCCCTGGTTCCCAGAGGTTCTGGTTCCGGTACTGACCACCTCTAGTGTCCCTGGTTGTCAGATGACGGAGACGGTGAAGTACGTGGACGATGAACACAAGAGCATCTTCCTGAAGCTGCTGAACGAGCAGCGGCTGGAGGGCGAGCACTGCGACATCGCCGTGGTGGTCGAAGACGTCAAGTTCCGCGCTCACCGCTGCGTCCTGGCCGCCTGCTCCAACTACTTCAAGAAGCTCTTCAAGAAGCACGAGGTACCGCACTCTGACTCCGCCCATCGGTGGGCCGCGATGCTCCGGTTCTCACCTGACCCCGTGTCCTCAGGTGGACAACTCGTCCGTCATCGAGATCGACTTCATCCGCTCCGATATCTTCGAGGAGGTCCTGAACTACATGTACACGGCCAAGATCTCCGTCAAGAAGAAGGACGTCAACCTGATGATGTCATCGGGACAGATCCTCGGTATCCGCTTCCTGGACAAGCTCTGCTCCCAGGTAACGCTCGACCCACCAGGTGGAGAACCTGCCAGACATCAAAGAATGATGATGATGATGTGCTTCATTAGAAGCGTGACGTGTCGTCAGACGACAAGGAGAAGTTTCCGTATGACATCGTAAAGATGGCGCTGCCCCCTGAAGCCCAGCTGGCCGCAGACTCTGAGGTAAGGCTGTCAGCAGCCAATCAGCAGCCGGAAGCTGCCGTCCTCCGATCTGATTGGTCGCTTCCGCAGGAGTTAGGCGAGCACGATGATGCGCCGGGTGCAGACGACCTGGTGGAGGCATCCACCAATCAGGAGCTGGACAAGTCTCCCAACGCTGCGCTGCATGTGCAGGAAGCCATCTTGAAGGAGCTGACCAATGAGGATGTTCACAAGGTGCTCCACCACACCTGTTGCTGTTTGAACCTTCCCTGTCAGAAGCCGTCCATATGAACCTGTCGTCTCCTTTCAGGTGTCCTGCTACGACCAAGACGTGGTGACGGAGATGGAGGCGGAGCCTAAGGAGCTCGGGGCGGAGCATCACGCCACCCAGACGCTGACCTTCACGGACAGCATCGGCGAGGTGAAGGACGAGGCGGCGCCCGGCTGGTCGGCCGCCGCTGCGGACATGAAGTTTGAGTACCTGCTGTACGGACACCGCGAGCAGCTGGCCTGCCAGGTGTGTGGGAAGACTTTCCTGGACGAGAGCAGACTCAGGTAAGGTGGCGCCTGGTCCACATGGCGCGGCCCGGCGAGCGCGCGCACGCGGCCCGGCGAGCGCGCGCACGCGGCCCGGCGAGCGCACGCACGCGGCCCGGCCTCACCTGATCCCACCTGTTCTTTCCCCAGGAAACATGAGAAGTTGCACTCAGCAGAGCGGCCATTCGCCTGTGAGATCTGCTCCAAGGCCTTCACCACGCACGCTCACCTGAAAGGTAACACTGGCACACCTGCTTCCGCGCCGCCACCAACTGGCTGTCTGACTCTGCCCCCACCTGCTGTCTGCTCCAGAACACCTGAAGATCCACACGGGCTTCAAGCCCTACAGGTGTGATGTTTGTGGGAAGTCGTTCATTCGAGCTCCGGACCTGAAGAAACATGAGCGAGTCCACAGCAACGAGAGACCCTTCGCCTGCCAGATGTGTGACAAGGTGAGCTCACCTGAGGTTGATGATGATGTCACCATCCTGAAGACTTGAATCATGGGAAAGCTCTGGTTTGGTTTTGACTTTTCTGAAGCATGAAGCTGAACCGTCTGCAGACAGAAGTAATAGATCCCAGATTGATTTATTTAAACAGCAGGGGGCCAAAACAGGCCCTGAGGGACCAGTGGAGGGCTGTAGGGACCAGTGGAGGGCTGTAGGGACCAGTGGAGGGCTGTAGGGACCAGTGGAGGGCAGTAGGGACCAGTGGAGGGCAGTAGGGACCAGTGGAGGGCTGTAGGGACCAGTGGAGGGCTGTAGGGACCAGTGGAGGGCAGTAGGGACCAGTGGAGGGCAGTAGGGACCAGTGGAGGGCTGTAGGGACCAGTGGAGGGCAGTAGGGACCAGTGGAGGGCAGTAGGGACCAGTGGAGGGCAGTAGGGACCAGTGGAGGGCAGTAGGGACCAGAGGAGGGCAGTAGGGACCACTGGAGGGCAGTAGGGACCACTGGAGGGCAGTAGGGACCAGTGGAGGGCAGTAGGGACCAGTGGAGGGCAGTAGGGACCAGAGGAGGGCAGTAGGGACCAGTGGAGGGCAGTAGGGACCAGTGGAGGGCAGTAGGGACCAGTGGAGGGCTGTAGGGACCAGTGGAGGGCTGTAGGGACCAGTGGAGGGCAGTAGGGACCAGTGGAGGGCAGTAGGGACCAGTGGAGGGCTGTAGGGACCAGTGGAGGGCAGTAGGGACCAGTGGAGGGCAGTAGGGACCAGTGGAGGGCTGTAGGGACCAGTGGAGGGCAGTAGGGACCAGTGGAGGGCTGTATGGACCAGTGGAGGGCAGTAGGGACCAGTGGAGGGCAGTAGGGACCAGTGGAGGGCTGTAGGGACCAGTGGAGGGCAGTAGGGACCAGTGGAGGGCTGTAGGGACCAGTGGAGGGCAGTAGGGACCAGTGGAGGGCAGTAGGGACCAGTGGAGGGCTGTAGGGACCAGTGGAGGGCAGTAGGGACCAGTGGAGGGCTGTAGGGACCAGTGGAGGGCATCAGATATTGAACCTCCAGGTCAGTCGTCTCTGACTTGTCTCTCTCTGCAGGCCTTTAAACACAAGTCTCACCTGAAGGACCACGAGAGGAGACACAGAGGAGAGAAACCTTTTGTCTGTCCGTCCTGCACCAAGGCCTTTGCCAAGGTACCAGACCCAGTAGAGCACAGTGAAGGTTCTGGTTCTGGAGGTTAAAGCAGGTTGACCTCCATCAGTATCTGAGTGATAGTTGGAGACAAGAATGAAGTTTTGATCTCATTTTGAGCAGAACCAGCAGGATTCATGTGTTCACATTAGAATTTGACCCGGCGCTGATGGTTCTGGTTCCCTTCAAAGAACCTAGGATTCATTGATCATCCTCAGCTGACAGATCCAGAAACAATCCGGGTTTCAGCTCTGTTGTGAGGCAACTGGACCTTCTGCCCCCCTCCAGAGCTCTCTGGACTTTGTACTAGAAGGTTCTGTTCTGGTCCTTCCGGACCTCCTCTGGGTCATCTAGGAGCGCGGCTCTTCAGACGGTCCTGGACCGGTACTGGCTGGCCCGGGAACCATGACGTGCTAACCATGAATGTTAGCTCTGCTAATTGTAAACAGTTCCATTACCCTAAGAGCTAACCTTAAATATCAAGTCTGCTAATGCTAAAGAGCGCTAACTTCTACTACGTTGATACCCACCGACGGTCAATAGCACATTAGCTACAACTTAGCATAGCGCTGTCTGTAGGCCACGCCTTCCTGTTCAGAAGGGAATTTGGATCAGACATTTCACTAGTTTCAGTTTTATAGTTGTCTTACATTGATTACATTAACTGTCGCTAATGTAATCAATCAATCAATCAAATGTTATTAATATAGCACATTTCAGCAGCAAGGCATTTCAAAGTGCTTTACATCATAAACACTAAAACACATAGAATCAACAATACATTAAGTCAAGTTCCATCATTACATTTTTAATTGATTACATTTCAAATCAAACTAATCAGCTGGTTTTTAGTCGAGATTTAAAGGAAGTCAGGGTTTCTGCTGTTTTACAGTTTTCTGGAAGTTTGTTCCAGATGTTTGGTGCATAGATGCTGAAAGCTGCTTCTCCTCTCTTGGTTCTGGTTCTGGGGATGCAGATCAGAACCAGAACCAGAACCTGAGAGTCTGGAAGGTTGATACAACAACAGCAGATCTTTGATGTATTGTGGTGCTAAACCATTCAGTGATTTATAAACTAACAACAGTATTTTAAAATCTATTCTTTGAGCTACAGGGAGCCAGTGGAGGGACTTTAAAACTGCTGTTATGTCTCTATCTTCCTGGTTTTAGTGAGAACAGGAGCAGCAGCTTCTGGATCAGCTGCAGCTGGAGGATTGATTTGTTGGACAGGCCTGTGAAGATGCTGTTGCAATAATCAATGTGACTAAAGATAAACACATGGATGAGTTTCTCTAGATCTGGCTGAGACATTAGTCCTCTAATCCTGGGTATGTTCTTCAGGTGATAGAAGGCCGACTGATTAACAGCAGCAGAGTCATTTGCTGTGATGCATTACAGGTGGAGACGGTGTTGAGAGGAAGTGGAAGTGCTGCGTAAATTTCAAAATAAGAGCATGAATAGAAACGTCTCAAAACCAGCTAATGATAAAAACTTCAACAATGTTGAACTTCAACTAACAAAACAGCCAAGTAAATTAGTTTATGTACAGGTGAGGCCAGAAGTATTCATATGCCTAGTAGGGTTTCTGCCATTCACACCAAGACCGCTGGACTGAGCGGTTCTGACCCACGTCTCTGCTGTTCCAGGCGTCGGACCTGAAGCGCCATGAGAACAACATGCACAGCGAGAGGAAGCAGCTGAACCCGCTGCAGAGCGACACGGAGACGCTGCAGGCCGCCGCCATGGCGGCAGAGGAGCAGCACCTGGAGAACATCAGCTGCTCCTAACACCTGGAGGACCGCTCTGACTCTGACCTCACCTCCCTGCCCTGAGGTGACCCCTGGCCTCAGCCCACTAGAACTCTGACCCTGTGGATTTTATGAAGCAGTTCCGCTCAGTTTCATGAGCGGAGCCGCCATGTTGTGCAGAACTCGTGTGATGATGTCATCAGACGGATGATGGGATGAAATCATGAAATAAAATGTTTTTCTAACCCAGTGTGAACTTTTGCTGCCCTCGGCAGCGACTGGCAGGCGCTGCAGCCTGCAGTACCGGCAGCGACCAGCAGGAGGAGACAGCGCCAGGTTCAGGCTTTTATTACAACATGAGCAGGTAACAGACAGGTGAGCTCAGGGCTTGATCAGCCAGTCACAGCCAGGGTTGACCCTGTAGACATCCAGCAGGCAGCAGTCCGGCTGCAGGCGGCGCTCATCTGACAGGGAGACGGGGACAGACAGGGAGACAGGTGTCCAGGTGTTCCTCAGACAGCTGGAGGTGATGATGTCATCAGGATACTTACAGATGTTTCCTCCGACCTCGTACAGGTGTTGGGTGGGGCTGGGGGCAGACAGAGAGGCGGTCAGGTGACCTGAGTGGGGGTCGCTCACCTGGACGGACTCGTCCTCACCTGGACTCGGACTGGAAGCGGGTCGTCACGTCTCCGGCGGTCGTCTGTTCGTCGAGCTGGATCGCCATGGAAACCTTAGTGTGCAGCGGAGCGTGAACCCGGATGACCCCTTCGGACAGCTCGCCGACCTGGAAGCAGAACCCGAGTCGATCGGTTCTGGTTCAGCTTCCTGTCAGGAAGGTTCTGACCCAAAAGAACCAACAAGCATGAAGTGGTTTTGGACCAGGTCATCATTGCTCCAGCCCAGAACACGGTTCTGCTGATGAATCGGGTTCTGCTGATGAATCGGGTTCTGCTGATGAATCGGGTTCTGCTCCAGGACGAGGCCGACCTGATGGGGGTGCAGTGCCTGCGGTGTCCCCCAGGGGTCAGTGTTGGGCCCTGAAGTGTTCCTGTCGGGTTAATCTAATCCAGAATAAACCAGCAGGAAGCAGTTTGTGTTTCCAGACTGCGTGTGTGTGTGTGTGTGAACAGGCTTATTGACGATGTTTTGATAGTTTATTTATAAATCTAATCAGTTCATGAAGAACATTTAAATAAAGAGGAGCTTTGCCCTGCACAGGTTTATCATGAGGCCTGAAAGCTCTGCTGTGTTCCAGATAATCCAAACCTCCATGTCTGCAAGATAAGCTGAAATGGTTGGATTCTGAGGGGTTAAAGGTCACCCAGCAGTGGAAGGAGATCCTATGTTGTCAAACATGGTTCTATTGGATCCAAACATCTGCTCCACCTCCAGCTGAGTCAAACCAACCTGTTCCCCTCCTGGCCTGTGGGGGCGCTGCACCAAGAACCACTGAAGGAAACGTCAAGGCGTCAGATTGGAGGATTTCTCTTTGGTTGTATTTACCCAGAATGCCCTGCACTATAGTTCACTTCCTGCTTTTGAGGGGCGGTCCTTGGTCCACTTGGACTTCACATTCAAACCGAACCCAGACTGAGGTTTGCAGGACCAGAGGTCATAGGTCGATTAGAATTCACACCTAAGCAACTGAACTGGACTTCAGTTCAGTCCTAGGAGCTGGACTGAAGCAGCCTAAACTGGGCTGGTGGGAATTCAGCCCAAAGTAGACGCAGAACCTGAGCTGGTTCTGATTCTGGTCCTGGATCTGAATCTGGTTCTGGATCTGGATCTGGTTCTGGTTCTGGATCTGGATCTGGATCTAGATCTTGATCTGGTCCTGGTTCTGGATCTGGATCTGGATCTAGATCTGGATCTGGTTCTGGATCTGGTTCTGGTTCTGGATCTGGATCTGGATCTAGATCTTGATCTGGTCCTGGTTCTGGATCTGGATCTGGATCTAGATCTGGATCTGGTTCTGGATCTGGTTCTGGTTCTAGATCTGGATCTGGATCTAGATCTTGATCTGAATCTGGATCTGAATCTGGTTCTGGTTCTGGATCTGGATCTGGATCTAGATCTTGATCTGGTCCTGGTTCTGGATCTGAATCTGGTTCTGGATCTGGTTCTGGTTCTAGATCTGGTTCTGGGTCTGAACTCACCAGGTTCCTGTCGTTCTTGTCATTGTTCCTCCTGAGCAGTCGGGACGTCGTCCTGCTCAGGTTGAACTGTCTCTGATTGGACGCCTGGTTCATCTGTCTCACCTGGGTCAGGAGAAACTTCGGGAGCTGCGGGAGACGACAGGAAGTGATGTCAGAGCGGCTGGGACGCCGACGTCACGGAGGACACGGCGCGAGGCTCACGGTCCAAAGCAGGTCCTGGTGCCGGATCATGAGTCGGATCAGCCGGGCTCCGCCCATCGCGTCCTCCATGTCCTCCTGTTGCTTGGCGATGGAGCGCTTGTTTCTATGGTTACGGCGGGCGAACAAGTTGGGGGCCATCACCATGGAGACGTTCCACAGAGACATCCGGTTGTGGTCCTGATGAGAGACCACCTTCTGGAGGAAGAGCAGCAGGGCCTGGAACCACGGGAACATCGTTCAGCGTGCGGAAATTTAAGGTGGACTGAAGAAGATGCAGGTTAAGGTGGAGTTTACCCTCAGCGTGTTTCTGTGAGCTTCAGGGAGGAGAAGGAGGAGCTGCAGAGCCTGGACCTGGTGGACCTCAGAGGACACGCCTGCAGAGACACGTTAGCAGAGACACGTTAGCAGTGACACGTTAGCAGTGACACGTTAGCAGAGACACGCCTGCAGAGACATGTTAGCAGAGACACGTTAGCAGTGACACGTTAGCAGAGACACGCCTGCAGAGACACGTTAGCAGAGACACGTTAGCAGAGACACGCCTGCAGAGACAGGTTAGCAGAGACAGGTTAGCAGAGACACGCCTGCAGAGACATGTTAGCAGAGACACGTTAGCAGAGACACGTTAGCAGAGACAGGTTAGCAGAGACACGCCTGCAGAGACATGTTAGCAGAGACAGGTTAGCAGAGACACGCCTGCAGAGACATGTTAGCAGAGACATGTTAGCAGAGACACGTTAGCAGAGACACGTTAGCAGAGACACGTTAGCAGAGACATGTTAGCAGAGACACGTTAGCAGAGACATGTTAGCAGAGACACATTAGCAGAGACACGTTAGCAGAGACACGTTAGCAGAGACATGTTAGCAGAGACATGTTAGCAGAGACACGTTAGCAGAGACACGTTAGCAGAGACACGTTAGCAGAGACACGTTAGCAGAGACACGTTAGCAGAGACACCTTAGCAGAGACACGTTAGCAGAGACACATTAGCAGAGACACGTTAGCAGAGACATGTTAGCAGAGACATGTTAGCAGAGACATGTTAGCAGAGACACATTAGCAGAGACACGTTAGCAGAGACACGTTAGCAGAGACATGTTAGCAGAGACATGTTAGCAGAGACACGTTAGCAGAGACACGTTAGCAGAGACAGGTTAGCAGAGACACGCCTGCAGAGACACGTTAGCAGAGACACGTTAGCAGAGACACGTTAGCAGAGACACGTTAGCAGAGACACGTTAGCAGAGACACGCCTGCAGAGACACGTTAGCAGAGACAGGTTAGCAGAGACACGCCTGCAGAGACATGTTAGCAGAGACACGTTAGCAGAGACATGTTAGCAGAGACAGGTTAGCAGAGACACGCCTGCAGAGACATGTTAGCAGAGACAGGTTAGCAGAGACACGCCTGCAGAGACATGTTAGCAGAGACATGTTAGCAGAGACACATTAGCAGAGACACGTTAGCAGAGACACGTTAGCAGAGACATGTTAGCAGAGACATGTTAGCAGAGACACGTTAGCAGAGACACGTTAGCAGAGACACGTTAGCAGAGACATGTTAGCAGAGACACGTTAGCAGAGACACCCCTGTAGAGAGGAGCTGTTTGTGTGTGTGTGTGTGGTGTGTGTGTGTGTGTGTGTGTGTGTGTGTGTGTGTGTGTGTGTGTGTGTGTGTGTGTGGACGAACCCAGGACAGAGCAGAAGGTGGACAGGTGTGTGTGTGTCAGCAGCGGTGTGGGCAGCTCTCGGATGAAGAGCTTCAGCAGTCCACTGGCGTCCGCCGGCCGCACATCGGTCCAGTCAAAGGCAGTCCAGCAGCGGTCCAGCTCTCTCCTCAAGAACTGCAGAGGGACAGAGACAGACTGAAGTTGCAGTTTGAGACGAAGCCGGACCGGGTCGGGACGAAACCACGTGTCGCACCTTCAGTCTGGCAGCTGATCCTGGAACTCGAAGGATTCCTTCAGTCTGCAGACCACTCTGCTCCAAGACGCCCAACAGCTAGAGAGGCAGAGAGACGGACAGCTGCTCTGAGGACACACTGCAAACCACAGCCTGTCACAATGCATGCTGGGAATGTTCAGCTGTTGTACTGCAGGATGTGACCCTGAAATAACGTTGGAGTGTAAAGCAGGCAGCGTTGGACTGTCGGTTCTTCACCTTCTGGAAGAAGACGGGCACTTTGACTCCAGGAAACCTCCTCCTGTCGTCGTCCAGCAGAGAGTTCAGCGAGACGCCGAACACGCCGCCGTCTGGTGGACAGAAGACCGAGTCACGTCTCCTGAAGACACACATTCCTCAAACCGTCAAACAGAAACACACCCCGAGTCCTGCGGCGCGGCGGCCGGCCGCGTTTGCTCTGGACTCCCAGAGCCAGCAGGAAGGTGGAGAGTTCGATGTGAGCGATGAAGCCCAGGCGCGTGAGGTCGCGTGACGACAGGTCGTCTGTACAGGTGAGACCGTGTGACGGGGAGGCGGGGCCAAACTGCACACACGTACCAAGAGAGACCGATCGGCAGCCTGCGGTGAGCTGCTGACTGATGAGCGGTCGGTCCCGATGCCGGCCACACTCACCTGCAGCTCACTGCTCTCATCTCCCTGGAAACGGACGCAGTCCCTGCACGTCCCGCCCCGTTTGTGCTCCGCCACGCCCTCTGAGTACGGAGTGTCACGCAGCAGCCAATCAGCACATCTCAGCCGACTCGGCGCCGAGGAGGGGCAGGGGCAGGACGGGTCTTCAGGCAGCCGGTCCCCGAAAACAAAGACAGGAAGAGCGGAGCGCCCTGGAGACAGCACAGCAACACCTGGATCAGCCCGGAACGGTCCAGAACCGGAACGGTCCAGAACCAGAACCGGCTCCGGTGAAGAGCCAACAGAGGAACCTGAAGGACACCGTCGGCTCGTCAGGCTCCAGAACAGCTTTAGGTCCACATAACCTACTCAGATAATGGGACCTACAGGTAGGACTTGACCTCATATCCAGACAGAACCAGAACCAGCTGGGACCCTCATAGTCCTGGTTCAGACTTTCAGTTGGATGTCGCCAGACTGGACCGTCACCAACACGCCACCGGTCCAAATTAAATGGCTGCACATCAGTTAGCTTAGCATCAGCTGCTGGCAGAATGGGTGCAGGACTGCATGCTGGACAGCAGGTGGCAGTAGATAAAGGGTGAGCAGATTGAAACCTCCACCCAGGAACTGAAACGTCTTTAGAACCTCAGCAGAACCACTGAGACGTTTTCAGTGTCTTCAGTCTGAGCAGAAGGAGCTTCAGGACCTGAAACGTCTCTGAGTCTGTCAACAATCAATATTCACATCAAAAAGAGCCGACGCAACCACTTCAGGAAACATCTGGAGGTCAAAGGTCAAAGCTGCAGAAACAACTAATAAAACTTAATGAGTCACCGCTTTCATTTGTTGGTTTGATAAAATGTTGGAGCTGACCACCATCTTTTTATTCTCCTGAATAAGAGCAGGAGATCCGGGTCGGGTCAGGTCGGGTTGGGTCGGGTCGGGTCAGGTCCGGGTCGGGTCAGGTCGGGTCGGGTCGGGTCAGGTCCGGGTCGGGTCAGGTCCGGGTTGGGTCGGGTCGGGTCAGGTCCGGGTCGGGTCAGGTCCGGGTTGGGTCGGGTCGGGTCAGGTCCGGGTCGGGTCAGGTCCGGGTCGGGTCGGGTCGGGTCAGGTCGGGTCAGGTCCGGGTCGGGTCCGGGTCGGGTCAGGTCAGGTCGGGTCGGGTCAGGTCGGGTCAGGTCCGGGTCGGGTCAGGTCCGGGTCAGGTCCGGGTCGGGTCGGGTCGGCTGGCAGTACCTCTGTTTGTGCTGCGGCGGATGGTCTTGGTGGTGGTGTGGTACCGCGGTGGAGGCGGTTCTGGATGCTGTCGGATCGGGTCTGCAGAGTCGGTCTCGGGCTGAAAGGAAAACTCATTCAGGTTGTCAGGCTGATTGAACATGTGACTGACGTCCTTCATGTCCCACCTCAGTGAAGACGTCACGCACGTCTCTGATTGGCTGCCGGTTCCTCTTCCTCAGCGTCTCGTTGTAGTTGTCCAGCCTCTTCCTCACTGTAGCGGCTTGTTGCCGTGTCAACGTGGACAGCACCGCCTCCACCTCAGGTGGTGCCTCTGATGACGAAGAGCCCAGGACCAGGGAGGAAAGCCCCGCCTCCGTCAGCCACGCCTCTTCCAGCTCCGCCTCTGCAGGAGGAAAAAACATGGAGGACGCGCGCAGACAGCGTCTCACTGCGGGCGAATAGCACTCACCATCCATGCTCTTCCTCTCCTCTTCTACCTCTTCCTCCTCCTCTTCCTCCTCCTCCTCTTCCTCGATGCTCTGTACCTCTCGCCAGTAGGTCTCCATGGCGACATGTCTGGAGTCAGAGGTCACTGTGCGGGGGGAGCTTGAGGAGGGGGGGGGGGAGGCAGCAGAATGAGGTGACAACATCCTGTGGAGGAGGAAGAGAGTCTCCTCAACGAATGTCTGAGGAAGAACGGTTCTCCTCATCTTCAGCATGTGCCCCGCCCACTGAGGCAGGCTCCACTCTGATTGGCTGAAGGTGTGAAGTCTGGAGTCCAGAGCTGTGAACCTGGAGCCTTGAACCTGGAGCCTTGAACCTGGAACTCTGAACCTGGAGCCTTGAACCTGGAGCCTTGAACCTGGAGCCTTGAACCTGGAGCCTTGAACCTGGAACTCTGAACCTGGAGCCTTGAACCTGGAACTCTGAACCTGGAACTCTGAACCTGGAGCCTTGAACCTGGAGCCTTGAACCTGGAACTCTGAACCTGGAACTCTGAACCTGGAGCCTTGAACCTGGAGCCTTGAACCTGGAGCCTTGAACCTGGAACTCTGAACCTGGAGCCTTGAACCTGGAACTCTGAACCTGGAACTCTGAACCTGGAGCCTTGAACCTGGAGCCTTGAACCTGGAACTCTGAACCTGGAACTCTGAACCTGGAGCCTTGAACCTGGAGCCTTGAACCTGGAACTCTGAACCTGGAACTCTGAACCTGGAGCCTTGAACCTGGAGCCTTGAACCTGGAACTCTGAACCTGTAGCCTTGAACCTGGAGCTGTGAACCTGGAACTCTGAACCTGGAGCCTTGAACCTGGAGCCTTGAACCTGGAACTGTGAACCTGGAGCTGTGACTTCTGGTTTCCAGGCTGTGGCTGCAGATCTGTGTTCAGAGTTTGTGGCTTTTGCAGTTAAACTGTCTTTAAATATTCATGAGGCTTTTGACAGGAAGTCAGTTTCTTCCAGCCATCGATGTGTGTGTGTGTGTTACTGTGTGTTACTGTGTGTGTGTGTTACTGTGTGTGTGTTACTGTGTGTGTTACTGTGTGTGTGTGTTACTGTGTGTGTGTGTTACTGTGTGTGTGTGTGTGTGTGTTACTGTGTGTGTTCCTGTGTGTGTGTGTGTGTGTGTGTGTGTTACTGTGTGTGTTACTGTGTGTGTGTGTGTTACTGTGTGTGTTCCTGTGTGTGTGTGTGTGTGTGTTACTGTGTGTGTTCCTGTGTGTGTGTGTGTGTGTGTGTGTGTTACTGTGTGTGTTACTGTGTGTGTGTGTGTTACTGTGTGTGTTCCTGTGTGTGTGTGTGTGTGTGTGTTCCTGTGTGTGTGTGTGTGTGTGTGTGGTGAGAACCCCAGCCTAATGGTTCTGGTTCTCTGGGGACGGGAGACGCTCCGTCTCAGCCTGTTGTGTCCATTAGCAGGAAATGGACGGAGGCTGTGGGTCAATCAGAGACGAGTGTTTTCACTCAGGTCCTCAGATAAAAGTGAACCTGGTTATGGATCAGCTGACGGCGTCTCCAGGACGAACGTCTTCGGCTCTGAACCGGTCCGGACCGGTGTGTGGGCCCGGTGCCGGGTTTCAGGACCCAAAGCCCGTTAGATTCTCTAGAACCACCTGAAAGCTGCCCGGTACCAACACTAAGTGACGCCACACAGCTGGATCGGATCAGGAATGTCTCTGGAGAACCTCTAGAAAATGTCCAACATTTGGACTCTACAGCCATCTGAAGTTCTCATGGTACTTTGTCCAGAACCGCCCTAACGGATCATTTCTAGGATCACCACAAAAACTCTGCAGGAACTCAAAGTTTCAGCAGAACAACCGTCGAGTCGCCAGAACTTTTCTGGAACCACGGAGAAAACAGAACCAGCAGGTGTTGACCGGCCCACTCTGGACTTCCTGAGAGGTTCTGATAGCTCCAAACATTCGGAACCTGGCTGTTCTGCTGATCGGACCAGGTCGGAACAAAGAAGTCCAGAGACGTTCAGGAGGATCTCTGTTCCGTCTCTGACCAATCCAGAACCATGAGAATATGGACCGGACCAGTAGTGTTGGTCATATTTCTGCTGGGTCAAAGCTTAGGTCCAGTTTGAAGGATCGGAACCAGAACCAAAAACCACCAAGTCACGCCTGAACGCTGGGCTGGTTCTGGTCCTGATTTAGGAGTCCGTCTTACTAAAACCAGAAGCAGGTCCAGTCCTTCAGCCCATCAGAACCACAGAGAAACGACGCAGACACAGAAACGGGACGGGCAGAACTCACCTCCGCTCGGTCCGGCTGCTCATCGGGTCTGAGGAAGACGAGGAGGAGGGAGAGGAAGAGCAGGAGGAGCTCCAGCTCAGACGGGGCGGGTCCGACAGCTGGACCGGGCCAGACAGCTGGACAACTGGACCGGGCCGGACAGCTGGACCGGGCCGGACAGCTGGACAGCTGGACCGACTGAGCCCCGGCTCAGCGTGCATCAGAAATAGTTTGCTGATGAAGAACCTCAGAGGAACCGGACCGGGTCAAAATCCAGCTGCTGCAGCAGAACCATTCTGCTCTGCAGAACCAGTTTGGGTCAGAACAAAGTTCTAAAGCGTCAGTCCAAACAGAACCACCCAACAGTTTCTGCACTGGTTCTGCAGGGTTCCAGAGGGACTGGACCGGTTCCGGTTCTGGACAGGAAGACATCAGCAAAAAAATATTGCCAGTCCACAGGTCAGAGGTCAACGGTTCTGGACCGACCCTGGTAGAGTTCTCCCAGAACCAAGTCCATGATTCCTCGGACCAGAACCAAGAAGACCCGCTGCAGCCAGAATTTGGACCAACACCAGGTACTGGGTCGGCGCCAGCAGAACATCAAGTGCTGCCCTGGTTCCGGTCCATTAGGACCTGCAGGGTTCTGGTTCCTAACCCAGGGTCATCAGAGACCAGCATTCCTTGGCTCGGTTCTGGTACCAGTGAGATCCATCAGAACCACATGCGGTTATTGGACTGGGTCAGATGGATGTGAGGCTGAGACAGAACCGCCTCGGTTCTGGTTCTGCTCTCTCTCTCCCCTGTCTCTCTCTCCGCCCCCTCTCCTTTCTGCGCATGCGTGCTGCCCTCCCAGCCTCCAGTTTCCGTGTTGTTCTGTGTCAGCGCAGTGACGCGGATCATCACAATCGGTAAGTTTCGCTCCAGAACCCGGTTCCGGTACCGGCTCCTCTGCGCTGCGTGTGTCCGCCGCCGCGGCTCCTCGGGCCGGATCCAGCCGGCGGCCCGGTCCGGCCCCAGAGGCCCCACTGCCGGCCTCCGAGCCGCGGATCTCCACCTGATCCGTTTCCTCCGTCAAGGCGCCGCTCCGACCGACGCGTTGCGCTTCCGGTCTGCCTTCAGAATAAGAGCTGCTCGCGTCTGCGCTTTAACTCAGTCTGGTCTGGTTCTGACCAGATGTTTGGGCTGGTCTCGTTCTGTGGTGGTTCTGAAAGCTTTCTGGAGCGTCGGAACCGGACTGGGCCCGTTTAGGTCTCTGCTTTGGTTCTGGTGCATCAGACCTTTACTCTGAAGGTGTGTGCAGACTTCCGGTCTGACTGTTGTATTAAGTGACTTCCGGTTCAGGACAGACTGGAGCAGGTCGGATCAGTACTGGTTCGGTATTACCATGACAACAGGGACTGTCACACATACCTGTCAGGAGGAGATGTTTTTTGACCTTTGACCTGAAGCTGTGATGTCGTTCTGATGTCAGAGACAAGAAGAGGAGAGGGAACCACAGAGGAAGACGAGGAGGAGATGAAGAACAAAGTCAGCAGCACTCAAGGTAGCTGCTGAGGCAGCGTCTGGTGCTGCGCTGTGATTGGCTCAGGTGAGTCCAGGTGTGACTCTCCCTCTGCTCCACAGTCAGCGTGAAGCGACGTTCCTGGTCCTGGCAGCAGTACCTGAACGAGCAGAAGGCCGAGGCAGCTCCGCCCTCTCTCTTCACCCAGGTGAGCCCAGCTCCCCCCTGAGCCAGGTGAGCCTCACCTGTCCTGATGGACGCATGTCTGTCCCTCAGGACCAGTCCTGTCCCAGCAGGAGGACGGCCTTCAAGGTGGGCATGAAGCTGGAGGGCATCGACCCGTTGCATCCCTCCATGTTCTGTGTGCTGACCGTCGCCGAGGTAACCGCTCAGCCCCGCCCTCACCGCACCTAAGTGGGAGTGGCCACCTGAGCCTTGTGTCTCTCTCAGGTGATTGGCTGCCGGCTGCGTCTCCACATCGACGGATACTCCGAGTGCTATGACTTCTGGGTAAACGCCGACTCACCTGACATTAGACCTGCCGGATGGTGCAGAGAGCACCGCCACAAGCTCCACCCACCCAAAGGTGAGAAGAAGTCCACCCCCACCATGCAGCCAGACAGCTGAGGCCTCCTCCACCCGTCCACCTGTCCCTCTGTCTGCAGGTCACAGTGAGACGGAGTTCGATTGGCAGGACTACCTGCAGTCCTCAGGGTCCCTCGCAGCTCCGCCCACCCTGTTCACCTGTCGCTCCACCGTGAGTCCACACCTGTCTCTCTGTCTTCCTGTCTCTGCCATTCCCTAACCGTCTGTCCATCTGTCTGTCCCTCAGGTGTGTGAGTTCCAGGTGGGGATGAAGCTGGAGGCGGTGGACAAGAAGAACCCAGGACTGGTGTGCGTGGCGTCTGTTGCTGATGTCATCAACGACCGCTTCCTCGTTCACTTCGACAACTGGGACGACACCTACGACTACTGGTGAGACCGGGGACAGCATGGGGGGAGCCTGGGGGGGAGGTGTCTCCTCAGGTGTCCAGGCTGAGGTAGTTCCAGTGCTGGCAGCAGGCGGCGCTGCTCACCTGTCCTCTGTGTCCTCCAGGTGTGACAGCAGCAGTCCCTACATCCATCCGGTGGGCTGGTGTGAGGTGCAGGGCCGACCGCTGACCGCGCCCCAGGGTATGTCCCAGAACCAGAACCAGAACCTGGATCTGGACCTGAACCAGCTACATGTAGAGAACAGCTTCCAGTGCTTCTGTGTGCTGGTTGTACTGGTAACTGTGGTGTTCTCCAGGTCATCCCAACCCAGAGGGCTTTGTGTGGGACGACTACCTGCAGGAAACTGGTTCCACGGCTGCTCCCAGTTCAGCGTTCACACTGGTGAGAGGGGGTGGGGCCAGGCAGACCAGAGACCAATCAGAGAGCGCTATATGCTCACTATGTGCTTTTGTCCAATCAGAGAGCTCCGCACGGTTTCCAGGTGAACCATAGGTTGGAGGCGGTGGACAGGAGGAACCCCATGCTGATCCGCGTCGCCACAGTGACGGACACCGAGGAATACAGGGTGAAGGTACGGCGCACTTCCTGTCACCTCTGTGACGTCATCAGAGGGGGACGATGACAGACGGCGTGTCCCCGTAGGTCCACTACGACGGCTGGTCCACCCAGCTGGACGTCTGGATGGACAGCGACCACACAGACCTCCACCCGGTGGGGTGGAGCCAGCGCACCGGGCACCCACTGGAGCCCCCCCCAGGTCAGGGGGCGACGGGACAGAGACAGGTGGGACAGGGACGACTGTAGCTATTGGGTCCTGAAACCTGTATGTCTCCTGTTGGACAGGGTCGTCCCCCCTGCCCTCTCCGTCTCAGGGAGTGTGTCCCACTGCTGGCTGCAGAGGCGTTGGACACATTAAAGGAGCCAAATATACGGGACACCACAGGTATCTGTCCCTGCACCTGTCCCTCCACTGTCCACAGTGTCTCAGGGTGTCTCCATCTGTCCGTCCCCAGTGCCTTCGGCTGTCCGTACTCAGAAATCAACATGAAGAAGGAGGGTGCTGCCTGACCGGCTGAGTGGGGAGAGGTCCGTCACCTTGGTGCCTGTGTCCCTGTCTCACCTTCACAGGTAGCGTGGAGTGCAGGCTCTTATTCTGAAAGGACAACAGGATGATTCTTTGTGCTGACAGCAGGTGGAGCTCAGAAGTAGTTTGTTCTCATTGTCCACTTCCTGTCTGTCCTCCTGTCTGTCCAGCAGAGGCGTCCAGATGAAGCAGGAGTCCACTGATGTCCCTCTGCTGCCTCTGGGGAAGAGGAAAAGATTACCTGACAGGTGAGAGCAGCTGCTCTCTGATTGGCTCCAATCACAGTCTTCTGTCCAATCACAAGCAGAAGAATTTAAGAACAAAAGTCAGGAAGTGGAGAGTGAAGCGATTGGTCTCTGAGGATCGTCTGGATGCTGCAGAACCTCAGTAGAACCCCAACAGAACCTCAGTAGAACCTCAGTAGAAACCCAACAGAACCTCAGTAGAACCCCAACAGAACCTCAGTAGAACCTCAGTAGAACCCCAACAGAACCTCAGTAGAACCCCAACAGAACCTCAGTAGAACCCCAACAGAACCTCAGTAGAACCCCAACAGAACCTCAGTAGAACCCCACCAGAACCTCAGTAGAAACCCAACAGAACCTCAGTAGAAACCCAACAGAACCTCAGTAGAACCTCAGTAGAACCCCAACAGAACCTCAGTAGAACCCCAACAGAACCTCAGTAGAAACCCAACAGAACCTCAGTAGAACCCCACCAGAACCTCAGTAGAAACCCAACAGAACCTCAGTAGAAACCCAACAGAACCTCAGTAGAACCCCAACAGAACCTCAGTAGAACCCCAACAGAACCTCAGTAGAAACCCAACAGAACCTCAGTAGAAACCCAACAGAACCTCAGTAGAACCCCACCAGAACCTCAGTAGAACCTCAGTAGAACCCCAACAGAACCTCAGTAGAACCCCAACAGAACCTCAGTAGAAACCCAACAGAACCTCAGTAGAACCCCAACAGAACCTCAGTAGAAACCCAACAGAACCTCAGTAGAAACCCAACAGAACCTCAGTAGAACCTCAGTAGAACCCCAACAGAACCTCAGTAGAAACCCAACAGAACCTCAGTAGAACCCCAACAGAACCTCAGTAGAACCCCAACAGAACCTCAGTAGAACCCCAACAGAACCTCAGTAGAACCCCACCAGAACCTCAGTAGAAACCCAACAGAACCTCAGTAGAACCTCAGTAGAAACCCAACAGAACCTCAGTAGAAACCCAACAGAACCTCAGTAGAAACCCACCAGAACCTCAGTAGAAACCCAACAGAACCTCAGTAGAAACCCAACAGAACCTCTGTATGAGCTCATTCCAGATCACCTTTTTGGTTCCCAGCAGCCATTTTTAATAAAACCACAGAAGAAGAATGTTTGATTTCACTGATGTCCTCTCTGGCTCCGCCCACAGACTGACCCAACCAACCAAATGCCTGCGTGTGAAACAGGAAGAGGAGGAGCTTCCCTCCGAACCATCAGTCCAGGTAAGGTTCCTCTGATTCTGGTTCTGCGTGGGTTCAGAACCGGGCCTGTGGTGTCATCCAGGCCCAGCAGGGGGAGCCGATCGCTCCAGAGAAAGAGTCTGTTTCCATGGAGACCAGGGTGTGATGTCAGAACTTCCTCTCTGTTGTCATGGAGACAGTAAGATGGTTGGAAGAGAGCTGTGCTGCGTTGTCAGGGAAACGGGTGGGTTCCATGGTTACAGCAGTGTTTGTACTGCTGAGTCCAATGAGACCCGGTTCTGGTCCTGACCCGGTTCTGGTCCTGACCCGGTTCTGGTCCTGACCCGGTTCTGGTTCTGACCCGGTTCTGGTCCTGACCCGGTTCTGGTTCTTTCCCGTCAGAGTCCAGTCTGCAGGCCGTCCTCCATCAGTCCGTCTTCCTGTCGGCCATGTCGGCCCAACCGGGTCGCGACCTCTCTCTCTGCTGGGAGCAGCACAGGAAGCTGTTGCCGGGCGTGGCCCGTCTCCACGCCGACGCTGTCCGCCGCTGGACCGTGCAGCAGGTGAGCGCCGCCTCCCGGTCTCCATGGCGACCTGGCGACCCGCTGACCCGCGTTGTCTCCTCAGGTGTCGGACTTTGTGGAATCTCTTCCTGGATGTGAGGATCAGGCCCAGCAGTTCAGGGACGAGGTGAGACGGCCAATCACAGGCCTCGGCTTTCATGACATCACAGATTAGGATGTCCCCTCATCAAGCACAGGGCCACCATGGAGAGGAAACCTCCATCAGAACCACTCTGCTGCCCCTGCTGGACCCGATCAGGACATCAAAGTGTTACACAGAATCAAAACGTTGATTTATGTTCTGATTGGTTCTGATTGGTTCTGATTGGTTCCTGTTTGTTGTAGCAAATAGATGGGCGGGCCTTCCTCCTGCTCACCCAACGGGACATCGTCAGGATCATGTCCATCAAGCTCGGCCCCGCCCTCAAGATCTACAACTCCATCCTGATGTTCAAACACGCCGAGGACAAGAGCCAATCACAGGCCGAGGACAAGAGCCAATCACAGGCCGAGGACAAGAGCCAATCACAGGCCGAGGACAAGAGCCAATCACAGGCCGAGGACCAGAGCCAATCACAGGCCGAGGACAAGAGCCAATCACAGGCCGAGGACAAGAGCCAATCACAGGCTGAGGACCAGAGCCAATCAGATATGAAAGATCCCAGCACTTGACCGCTGCATGCTATGACTGACCAGGTTCAGTCAGGTGATGGTGGCCCCGCCCCCTCAGCCAGGTATTAACCAGTCAGGCTACTGTCACTTCGTCCCCTTTAGGCTCCGCCTCTTCGGGATGGGTGGGGCTCCGCTGGATGAGTAAAGAAAGGGATTCTGGGATATGTTGTCTGTGACTGAGGTGCAGCTGGGAGGTGGAGCCAGAAGTGGCTTCGTTTCCATGATAACGCTGAGACAGATGATGAAGATGATGAAGATGAAGTCTCATCAGCATCCTGGTGTGATGTCATCACTTCCTGTCAGCAGGTCTCAAACAGGAAGCAAGTGATGATGTCACACTGAGGCCATACCTCATCTTCTGATGATGTCATCCCAGTGGGCGGAGCTCCAGGTTTTCTACTCTTCCTCCACAGAGTTTTATTTTCAGGTTTCTATTCTCGATTTGTATTCTAAAGCTGACTCCGCCCTCTCTGACGTCACGCTAGGGGCGGGGCCAACAGCCAGCTTCTGCAGGGTTCCTCAGGTTTCCATGGCAACACGTCCTGCCTGCTGTCTGTCAGTGTTTGATCAATAAAGTTTCTGACCTGAAGCGTGGTCATTGATTGGTTCCTCGGGGCGGCCGGGGGCGGGGCTTCAGCTGATCATGTGATCCATATGCTTCCCAAAGTGGGCGTATGAATATGAATAAAATACATTTGAAGTATTTTTATCCAATAAATTCACTTAAAAATAAAACGTGTATAATTCTTTCTCTGTTTTATGAGTAGCTGCAGTTCAATATTCTTGTTTTAGCTCATTATTTAGGGAACATTAAATAGTTTTTCCTCCAATTGATGATTTTGTTTCTAACAAAAACAAAAAGCGGGAGGAGCTCCAGGTTGCCATGGAGACCCTGCTTCGTCACTGAGCTGCTGGTGGTTAACTGGGAATACTGGGAGGCAGTTGAACAGAGACCGCCCCCTGCTGGTCACACCACATGCTGCAGCTCCGGTCGGTGAGGAGTTCACATGGAGACTCCGAGTATGAAAGATGATGCTGCAGCCATGAGAGCGGAGGAGGAGGAGGAGGAGAGGAGGAGGAAGAGGAGGAGCAGGAGGAAGAGCAGGAGGAAGAGCAGAGCTGAGGTTATTTTCACCGAGTGAGGAGAGCAGAGTGACATTTCACGGAGGATCAGTGGGAGGAACCAGCCTGTCCCTCTGGAGGAGCACAGCAGGAGGTGTGAGTCTCTGCAGCAGCAGGAGCAGAGGGAGGAGGTGGAGGAGGTGGAGGCACTCCAGAGACGCAGCAGCAGCAGCAGCAGAGCCATGCAGCAGCAGCAGCAGCAGCAGCAGCAGCAGCAGCTCCAGCAGTAGGAACCAACGCTCCATCTGTCTGCCATTGATCCGTATCGGCTCTGCAGCGATTGATTATCTGGGCTCACCAGAAACCAATCAGCTGGTTCCGATCCGTTCTTCGTGTGTGTGTGTGTGTGTGTGTGTGTGTGTGTGTGTGTGTGTGTGTGTGTGTGTGTGTGTGTCCTGATCAGTGGGAACTAGCTGGTTCCGATCATCACAGATGGAATGGATCTCAACTTGTGGTGGTTCTGATCCATCACGGATCTTCAGCAGTACCAGATAGTTCTGATGAGTTCTGATTGATTTGATGTCCTCACAGCTAATGAGCCTATTGATCCAATAAATGCATGCTGGGAGATGTAGTTCCCATCTATCAGAGTGGAAGGTCCAGGGTCCACCATTGGTTCCGGTCCTGGGTTCAGTGTAGGTTCTCTGGGTTCCTGCTACTGGCTCTCAGGTGTGTCTCTGTTCCAGGTGAGGTGGAAGTGGGCGGGGCCTGACCCGCTCAGCCACTGTCTGATTGGTGGCCTGTGATGATTGCGACAGGCGGTCTGCTGAGGATCAACGCGCGGCGACAGGACTCTCTGAGGTCCAAAGCACACAGATCCCACCCACACAAGAAGAAGAGCAAGAACAAAAGGTAACACCCACCCACACGCACTGCCAGAGGGGCCGTTCCCCGCCTCATTAGATTATGTCACTTCCTGTCCAGACGTAGCGAGGTGGTGGTGGTCAAGGGGAAGCTGAAGCTGTGCTCCATCTCGGGTCTGGTGGCCGTTCTGGGGATCCTGGTTCTGGTGGTTGGGGTTCTGATGGCGGCTCTGGGCTACTGGCCCAGGGATGGACTGTTCTTCAGCTCCCAGCCACAGGAGGGCGCCACTATGGCCTTGACTTCCTTCAGGAGTCCGGCACCAGCACTTGTTGAAGACCAGGTGAGAGTTTACCTGAGCAGGACCAGCAGAGTCCTTCATGTGTGCGTTCTGATGTGTCGCTGTGCCGCATGCAGGAACCCAAGTGGGCGGAGTCAGTCGGGGAGACGGAACCAATGGCAGAGGAAATGACTTCAACCAATCAGAGACCGTCAACGGGACCTCTCGAGATGTTCCACAAGGATTTCTGGAAGAGTTCCTGGACAGGTGAGCGAACATGGATTACCTCAATGTGACGACCGACCAGCAGGTCAGCTACTGGATCTGTGGGCTGACCCTTGACCCGGGCTGGTAGTTTAGGGGAAACGGTCTTTGACCTGCTTCTGACGTGTCCTGATTGGCTGTCTCTGCAGGTATCTGTACTCTGATAGGCTGAAGGTCTTCGGCCCGCTCATCATGGGCATCGGCATCTTCCTCTTCATCTGTGCCAACGCCGTCCTGCATGAGAACCGGGACAAGAAGACGAAGGTCATCAACCTTCGGGACATCTACTCCACCGTCATCGACCTCCACAGCGTCCGGAAGCCCCGCCCTTCTTCCTCCGCCCACCAGCCGTTAGCCAATCCACTCAATGGACTCATCAACTACGTCCAGTCCAAGAGTCTGGACTCAAAGTCCCAGATGTGTCCCGCCGCCCTGTCGTCAAGGCAGCCAGCCAGTAGCAGGAGGTGCAGTGATGAAGGAGGAGGAGTCTTCAGTGTCTGCCAGGAGCATCCGCCTGCATCTCCTCCCTCCTCCTCTAACAGACACTCCCTGCCCCTGACCTCTGACCCCTGCTGGACCTCCAACACAAAGATATGCTGAGCTCCTTCACGTTGCCCCGGTCCCGCCAGCCGTCCCGCCAGCGGTCCCCCGGCCCCCGCAGGAGACACTCCTTCTGGGCCAGGAGCAGCGGCCAGGAGGAGGAGCAGAAGGAGGAGGAGATGCAGCCGCCGCCTCTGTGTGCCTCCACTCCTCCGCCTCACCGAGGCTCCGAGGCTCTGCTCCTCCTCTCCTCTTCCTCGCTCTCCTCCCTGTCCCATGTCCTCTCCTCCTCCTCCACTCCAGCCCTCCCCTGCAGGAGGCGGAGTCTTCCGACCGCCGCCTTTAACGCAGCCTACTGCAAGCTGACGCAAGGAGACGACGAGTCCTTCGGGTGGTCTTCTTCACCCAAGGTGACCCGGAGGTGGAGGCTCGACCCTCACAACCAGAGACACCCTGAGGTCCCGCCGGCCCCCTGGGGGGAGGAAGAGGAGGAGGATTGACTGACGAAGTCGATGATGACAGCAGCAGCAATAAAGAGTCTTCCACCGGGGAGATGAGCCAACTTCCTGTTCATCAGTGATGTGGTGGGACCCAGTCTCACCAGAACTGGACCCACTTGACCCAAACGGATCCATTGAGGAGACCACAGATTGTCTTCATGTCCCTGTTTACACTAACTAACTAAACCAGATTAACCCAAACAGATCCAACTGATCCAAGATGACTCGATTTATTATCAGATTTATTCCAGAACTGCAGCTGGTTCTGGTCAGTCTAGATCAGGGGAGCTCAAACTTTTTGAGACCAAGATCTACTTTTTCTCTCACCAGCCGGCTGAGATCTACCTCATGACACGAAGACATAGAAATTATAGATGAAACCCTATTGACTCATTTTCATGCAAATATCCATCAGTTTTATCAGAAATGATAAAGTTATAGAAAACCTGATGCAGTTTCTTCCTCAGTGAGATTCTGACACTGGGAGCAGGTTACTGGTTTCAGTAGGTTACTGGTTTCAGTAGGTTACTGGTTTCAGCAGGTTACTGGTTTCAGCAGGTTACTGGTTTCAGCAGGTTACTGGTTTCAGTAGGTTACTGGTTTCAGTAGGTTACTGGTTTCAATAGGTTACTGGTTTCAGTAGGTTACTGGTTTCAGCAGGTTACTGGTTTCAGTAGGTTACTGGTTTCAGTAGGTTACTGGTTTCAACAGGTTACTGGTTTCAGCAGGTTACTGGTTTCAGCAGGTTACTGGTTTCAGTAGGTTACTGTTTCAGTAGGTTACTGGTTTCAATAGGTTACTGGTTTCAGTAGGTTATGGTTTCAGCAGGTTACTGGTTTCAGCAGGTTACTGGTTTCAGTAGGTTACTGGTTTCAATAGGTTACTGGTTTCAACAGGTTACTGGTTTCAGTAGGTTACTGGTTTCAGTAGGTTACTGGTTTCAGCAGGTTACTGGTTTCAGCAGGTTACTGTTTCAGTAGGTACTGGTTTCAGCAGGTTACTGGTTTCAGCAGGTTACTGGTTTCTCAGTCAGAAGCTGGTTGTAAACCTGAGGCCAGCAGCTGTCAGTCAGTTATAGTAGATGAGAAATTTGGTTTGATGACGTCAATATGAGAAACTGCAGACTGATGGGAGGAACCAAAGAGCTCTGCAGAGGTAAAGGCAAATCTTCTGAATTTGGGATATAATTAATGTAAATTGACACAATTATTGTGGTAGAAGCCATTTGTTTGTTAAAACTTAATCTAATATATGTGTCCTATTTGATGTTGGTTGTGACGTTCACTGCAAACGAATGAGGTCATCAGTCCAAGTCTGTCGTTCATTGAACGTTCAGAAACTCCAGCGGCTGTGATGAACCACAGCGAAGGTAAACAAAGGTAGAATAACCCGAAAAACTCAGAACCACTCGCACCTTTTTACTCTCTCTCTCTCTTTATCGTTAAGCACAACCCGTTGCCGTGGCAACCTGCGCCCCGCAAGCCGAGCAAGATTACGTTAAAAACGTTCAGTCCGTTACATCAGGTTATTATTATTTAATGAAGCTACAAACGTTTGGATGTTAGTGAATATTTTGATAAGCCTGTCAGAAGAGGAAGTGCTGCTCTCAGCGTCCTGGAGGCCTTCAGTTTGTCACCTGCTGCAGAGATCGACTCAAAACCGTCCCGCGATCCACGTATTGAGCACCCCTGGTCTAGAACTAGCGAGACTAGCATAATCTTAGTCTAGCATAATCTTCTTCTTCACTCTTAGCGGAAGGGGTCAGGGGTCAGAGGTTGGTCTTGCTCCATGCCTGCAGTGCATGCTCTTTAAGCACCTTCAGTATTTTGCACTTTTTGATCTTCAGTGCTTCATTCCTCTGGGACTACTTTCTTGCGGAAGCGTCCGTCCGTCCTGTGTTGGACCTGGAGAAATGGACGTGTTGGACAGCATGTTGTTGTTTTTTACTGCATGTTCTAGAAGCCGGTCACATGACCTGCTGTGATGAAGACATCAAACATCTTGACCCTTCGCTGCTCTGCAGGCTCCGCCCACCTGCTGGGGAACCGCCCCCTCCACATTAAAGATGGCCGCCTGTGGAGGATCCCAACCTGCTCTACTGGACCTTTAAACTTAGAACTATATAACTGTGATTATGAAGCAGAGAAAATGGGTCAGAGGTCAGAGTTCACAGGTAGTCTCAACAGGAAGAAACCAGTCCTTCTGGTTGACTGGGTGAACTGGTGATGGTCTGGACCGACCCGTCCAGAACCTGAGCTGGTTCTCCTAACATGATGTCTGAACTGGTTCTGTTGAGTCTTTCGCCCGACTCGTGTTCTCTGACCTGTTGGCACTGCTCGTTTCAGCCCTGGTTCTGATCTTGGTTCTGTTGCAGCTGATTGGACCCAGATGGAGCATCAGCAGAACTTTCTGCGGTCACTGAAGCACAAAGTGAAACCACCACAAATAAAGCACAAAATGTCTGTTCACGTCTGACTCCTCCCTCCTCCGGGGCTCCGCCCACATTCACAGGTTCTGGGTCGCACCTTCACCTGGGGCTCACATCGGGTCGTCAGACTGTTCAGAACCGCTGGGGTTCTGTTGTAGACACAGAACCGGGCCAACAGACAGGAAGGAGGTGGGGTCACTTCCTGTCTGTTCAGGCAGACAGGAAGTGATGTCACTGCCTGAATTTCCTCAGAAATATTGGGACTTCCTGTCATCATTTCTGACCGGGTCTGGTGGGTCTGGCAGTGACCCGACCAGACCCGGGTCACGGGCAACATGATGGCCGGGTCACGACCAGACCGAACAGACACGGTTCTGGGAGCAGGACCGGTATCGAGGGTTCTGTTGGAGCTGAGAGGCGACCCGACCCGGTCGGTACCACTCTGGCTCGACCCGGCATGGCCGCTCTGAACTGAACTGGACCTTTTAGACACCGGTCTCAGCCGGTTCTGATGTTCTGTTCATTGGAGAGTCACTGATGACATCACAGAAAGAGGAAGTAGCTAGTTCTGGTTCTGGTTCTGGATGATCTCAGGTTCTTGAAGTCTGATGGTGGACAGACACCACCATCAGACTCTTCCTGTCCTCCTGTCTCTCAGACTTTCAGCCATCAGGGAATCTGATCCGGATCAGTCTGGCTCCACCAATCGGAGCGCAGCAGGAGTCTGACAAGCCCCTCCCCCGGCCTCCTGTACCAATCAAAGTGCAGGAGTCTTCTGTCCTCCAAAACCAGAATGGACCTGAGTTTGAGAGAGGTTCTGATCCCTGCAGCATCAGTAGAACAAGAACCAGAACCGGGACCAGAACCAGCCTCACTGTCTCCATCGGTGCCCCCCTCCCCCTCCTGCAGCGGGCGACTGGGAGGGGGGAGGGGGATAATCTGGGGGCGGAGCCTGAGCAGAAACCAATAATCCGTCAAGCAGCTGCAGAGGGACTGACTGGGAGAACCAGAACCAGAACCAACATCAGCATCCTCTTCCTCCCCGCTGCGGAACCTGCTCAGGTACTCCTCTTCCTCCTCACCCTCCTCTTCCTCCTTCCTGCAGCTGGGTTCTGCCGGTCCGGACCGGGACCAAAGCCTCCTGACCCGGTTGGACTGGGATGTTTTGGTTGGGGTCTTAAAGGAGCAGCAGGAAGTATTCACTGATTTATTATTATTATTATTATTATTATTATTATTATATTATTATTAATATAAACTGTTAAATAAATATGTGACATATTTATCCAGTCAGAAATGGTCAGTGTTCTGTAATGGTCGGATTTCAGGCTAGCTGCTCATCTTCCTGCTTTGACTAGGCCACATGGATCCTCCATGTTTGTGTCTCCTTCCCTGACTGATACTTTATCAGAAACTTTATCAGACAATTTGTCAACATTCAGAGGCGTGAAAACTTCAACCAGAACTCCCAGTACAGCTGCTGGAGCTGTGTGTGTGTGTGTGTGTGTGTGTGTGTGTGTGTGTGTGTGTGTGTGTGTGTGTGTGTGTGTGTGTGTGTGTGTGTCATTTAATTCTTTCATCTCATTAATTATTTTTTCTTCTTTTGTTTGAACGGATCACTTCCTGTCTGCACCGGTGAGTAACACACACCCACACAAACGTCATCTGCTCATTCATAATTATTAAATCTGCGTCACAATCGTAATCATAATGAAATATTAAATCTAACATTGTGCAGATTTTAACACACAGACTTTACAGTCAGATTCTTCATATCTACACACTTAGATCCGTCTGAACCCAAACAGAGAAACAGGACAGGAGATTATTTTACTGTATAAGTTAGCACAGCTGTTAGCATATCAAGTAGCACAGCTGTTAGCATATCAAGTAGCACAGCTGTTAGCATGTTGGTTAGCACAGCTGTTGGCATGTCGGTTAGCATGTTGGTTAGCAGCTGTTAGCATGTCGGTTAGCATGTTGGTTAGCACAGCTGTTAGCATGTTGGTTAGCACAGCTGTTAGCATGTTGGTTAGCACAGCAGGGAGCTGAAAATGTCAAAATCTACTTTACTGGAAACATGAGGCAGAAATTCAAGCAGTTCAGTGTTTATGTGACGATTCAATGAACATGAAAAGAATTTTATTGACATTAAACTGCAGATGTTTTATGAATCTGTTAGCAGAACAGGATTTGATTTGTTTAGAGAAAAAAACCTTTGAATGTTCCTGGAAGCGAACAGAACCGACCCGATTCTGTGGTTCTGGTTCAAAGTCAGCGGGCGGCCCCTGGACCTCCGGTTCCGCTTCCCCGCGGCGTCTGAGGAATAAATGCATGAAAGTTTAGTGGTATTTCTAAACGAAGGCCGGCGGAGCTGGGTGTGCGTCATGACGTCACAGCCCGTCGTAGTAGGTGATGACGTAGAGAGCAGAGCGGCGTCGCTGACGGCGGAAAGAGGACAGCGTCCTGCACGAGGACAGGTAAAGCGGAGCTGTGATGTGAGAGCAGCCGGTCCGCTTCGGTTCGGTTCGGTTCGTTCCGGGTCGGTTCGGTCACTACACAGAACCTCCAGCTGCTGCCGCTCGGTTCTGGTCCCGCTGCAGCCCGATGCGCGTGTCCGTGTCTTGCTGCAGGACCTCAGGCACGCGCATGGCCCGGGACACTCCCGACCCGCAGAGGAACAGATGCGGTCCGGTCCGGTCCGGTCCGGTCCGGGCGGTCTGGACCTTGTCTCAGGCGCTCGGTTCGGGTACGCGCTGCGGCTGATGAGGCAGCTGGTTCCGGTGATGAAGAGGATCCTCCTCTTCATCAGGTGCACCTGAACAAAGCAGCGCGTGCTGCTGCTGAGGAAGAGGAGGATGATGATGGGAGGGTCCTGCTGCCTCAACCCGTCCGGGACCGGAACCTCAGCCAGAACCGTCAGGAGCTGCTTCCAGAACTGACGGCTCCGGTTCTGCAGGTCCAGTTTCTCCTGTACGAAAAATTCTGATCCTATAGCCTGCAGAACAGAACGGGTCCAGTTCACCAGAACCAGAACAGAACCGGTCCAGTTCTCCAGAACCAGGGCAAGCTTCAAGATCAGAACATCTGGACCCAGAACCATCTGGACCAGAACCATCTGGACCAGAACCATCTGGACCAGAACCATCTGGACCAGAACCATCTGGACCAGAACCATCTGGACAGACTTTGATGATCTCAGGAGGTTCTGAAGGTTCTAAAATACTTAATCCTCAAAATGATGACTGGGTCATAAGTTCTGGTTCTGGTTCTGTCGGCGCTCTGTAACCGCCAGGTCCAGTTTGTCAGAACCCAAACAGAACCAGCTGTTTTTCCGTTCTTCCTCTCTGAATCTCTTCATCATCCTCACCAAATCAGATTACATCAGATTGTCTCCGCTGTAATCCGTCTCTCTGCCGTTGCCGTGGTAACGTTCACCTGACAGCTGGACGGGGTCAGGGCCTGGTTACCATGGCAGCCAGCGTGAGTGACGGTTCTGGTTCGGAGGTCCAGTTTGGGTCCAGTTTGGGTCCAGTTTGGGTTCTGAGACGTGATGATTGATTGGTTCATTTATTGATGACCTCCTGACCTCCTGACCTCCTGACCTGCATTCTGCTCTGACATTACCGGTCTCCATGGAACCATGGCTGACCTGTGTCCAGGTGAATCACCATGACAACAGAGACAAGTGAAGCCCAGCCCCAGAGGCGGAGCCTTTCCCTGAAGCCGCCGCCCACTCCACACCTAAAC